GCCCCCTCCTCATTTGCTCCTTGCACTCATCGCTTTATGCCTTCCCTTGCAGAAACATCCCGTATGCTTTCACACCTCTCTTTTCTTTGTCTGTAACGCTTCTGCACTTCCTCTCTGGCCCAGGATACACATCCCCCTGTCCTGAGTTTCCTGAGGTCTTCCTCCTTGCCCATCCTTTAGGTCTCAGTGTATATGGCCAGTCTTCCCATGAAGGCTTCCCAGATCCTACAGTCCAGATTAACTCTTCAGTCTTCTCATGGCAGTGATTTCACGTCTTTTACGATACCAACAGTTTGCTTGTATCTTTGGACTCCCCACCAGATGTTAACTCCTTGAGGCAGGTTTTATCCCTTCAGCTGGCATAATACCTGGCAAATAAGAGGCAGTTGGAAGATGTTCGTTGACTGGAGTAAAACATGCAATAACTGAACATGATGATATTGACAAACTGAATCACAGCGAATATGGCTGGTCTGGACATAGGGTAGTTGATGACAAGCCCCTTGTTGTTAAGACACTAACTTCTTTGTCCCAGAAACCCCAGCTTAGCAGGGTACAGAGTAGATGGTCATTGAATGCTTGGTGGCTTGGAGCTGGCTGCAGAGCCTATCCGTGTGAGCACTGACGTTTCAGCGCCCTCTCTGAGCTTCCGCTCCAGGGGACACTCCGTTCCTCATACCTGGGCGCGTCCAGCGGGCACACGCTCTGCTGCTGATTCCCAGCTGCACTGACTGGCCACCATCCGGGAAGCAGGCCTTCAGACGCCTTTCATGCATTGGTGATGCTTGGCTAGCCTGTGTTGATTGCCTCATTCCATTGCTCGCTACGCCCAGTATCAGCTTGCAAGTCTTGCTGTTGTCCGAGCTGGCCACGTCGGTTGTGCTGTGATGCGTGTCCCTCGGGACCCAGACTCTTGGCCTTATCCCAAGACGTTGTCGTTGGCCAGCTGGGCTCTCTGTTTAACCTTCCAGAGGCCTTACAGGTGCTGTTGAGCTCAGTGCTCAAAATGGTGGTGGTGTAGACCGAGCCGGCCGGGGCTTCTCAAGTGAGCTGTGTGCAGTTGTAGCTTTAAATAAAGATGGTGGGTCTGAGCTGGGCCTCGACACTGAGCTGAAACCGCATTGTCATTGCCTGCCTCCCTTGAGTCACGCACTCTTCCTGATTTGGCACTCAAGTTCCTTATAGATTAACGGATCAATGAACAGTGTGTGGTCCGAGCAGCCACATTAAGAGCTTTCAGTCCCGAACCGCCAGTGAAATTCTCCGGCCGTGTCCAGGTTTCTCGTGGTGTAGATTAGACTAGAATTTTTCTCAATATGTGAATTGTTCTCAATCCATTTGCAGGTATATAATTGAATTACTTTTTATTGAGATTTTTAACTAATTGATATATTGGACTGTCTAATAAAGTTAACATAAAATATCACACATGTAAATGTTAAAGTATAAAGATGGTTTCCTTCAGTCACATAGGAGAACTTGTCTTGGTGCTAAGGGTTCCACCCCTTTCTCTGCAGGGAAGAGGAAGAAGGAAGGACAGTGACATTGAGTGGGCACTATATGTAAATCGTCCCACTGGTTACAACAGTGACATGAGGTGGGGGCGTGATGCTCACCTTACAGACAAAACCAAGTCTCAGAAATTAAAGATAACAAAGTTGAGTCTCACTCAGCAACAGTGAGTCTGTTTAAACCTTGGATGGTCTGGCTCCATGCATGTGTCTTTGCCTCTCCTTTATGACTGCGAAGTGTGCTCATCGTATGAGGATATTTATAGATTTATTTCCCAGAAAACTATTTTGTTATTAATTGTTGATTGATTCTCCAACACACTGTGGACTTCAGGTCCCTTATGATTTGGGTAAGGCTGTTTTTTGTGCCTGAAATGCCAAGCCTGTTCACTTCCCTTGTGAACTCTTCCTCATATGTGACCTTGTCTTTGAAGCACTTTTTGAACCATACCCCATTTTTTCCCTCTATAGTTTTATTTCTTGTATTTCACGAAGTTAAGAGAAATGCACACACATTTTGAGTAATGAAGTAATACAGATTAAAAAATAGCCTTCTGTCTTCCAACCCTCTTCCATTTCAGTCTCTTTCTGAAGTAACACGTTAAAAAATATTTTCAAACTTAAAAAAATATAATGAACGTATACTCTTTATTCAGAGTCACCAATTTTTAACATTTGGCCACATTTTGTTTTATCTTCCTTCCTCTCTTTCTCCCTCAATATGTAAAAATATTATTTGTTTTCTGAAGCATTTGAGAGTAAGTTGCATAATTCATGCCCCTTTATACCTTAATAATTTAGTTATGTATTCTCTAAAACCAAGGCCATTAGTCATGTTTCTCTTTAGTCTCCTTTCGTCTTAAGTTTGGAACAGTCACCAGGGTTCATTGTCTTTCTGTTACATTATTTATATCTTCAAATATAATTTAAAATTTATATTAGGATGTGTATAATACAAAGTTTTATTGATATATTTATTATAATATCATAATGTATGCTATGCTACATAATTATGAGTATATAATAAATATTATATATTATATAATCTATAATTCATGATTTACACGTATATTATATTGAAGTTTTATAACAAATAAAAATAACATAATATATTAAATGTGTAATATAAGAATACATAAATACATAATACATAATATAAGAATATCTAAATATAGAATATCATATAAAATAATATAAATGCATAAGATATACATATATAATATGAGTAAAATACAACATACCTATAATATATGAAAGTATGTTATATGCAGTGTTTATTATGATAGATATGAGATGTAATGCAATTGATTATAATATATAAATGAGAAGATATTAAAACATAATAAAGTTGTAATGTTATAAACTAATACAGAATTATTATATTTTATACTTTTAATCTAAAATATTAATTTATTTTTTTAAATAGAGCATTCCTCATCCTGGGTTTGTCTGATGTTTTCTCAGGATTGTTTCAGGTTATGGACCCCTGGCTGGAATGCCACCTAACTGCTGTTGTGCCTTCTCAGGGTGTCACCTGCAGAGGCATGCCACGTTCACGTGCCCTGCATTGGTGAGGTCCCGTTCGATTACTCAGTCAAGGTGTAATGCAATGTAATACACTTTCTCCATAGTATAATTATTCTTTTTATTTTTCTAGTTCATAAGTCATTGGGAGGAAATGCTTTGAAGCCTTGCAGATCCTCTGTGCTCCATCAGACTTCCACATTTTAGATTTAGCGTCAGTTGATATTTTGTGATGTTTCCTGTTGGATCCAGTCTTTTTACTCTCTCCGGAAGCAAAATGGCTATTTTTCAGTTGTACTGCACCCTCTACATTTATCAACTGGCTTTTCATTGTAAAGAAGAGCTCTCCATTCTTTCCTGTTCACTTGCTTTCTGCATGTATATATGTAGTTAGTATATATGTATTCATCCATCCATCCATCCAACCATCCATCTGTCTGTGTGTTTATCATTGGTATGCACTCATGGATGTCTGTTTTCTCAATGGCTTATAATTAATTACTGTCCTTATTTAGTATGATATTCAAATTGTCTCCTATTTGGTCAGTGGGAGCCCGTTGTCAATGGCTTCTGTGTTTTTTCACATGTACCTGGTATTTTTTGATCCCTTCCTTACTTCCTACCTTGAGAAGATACCCAGGCACCTCTTACATCGCCCGAGCTCAGCCCTAGAATCAGCCACTTCTCTAAGGAGCCCGTGTTCTCTGTAGTGGAGCTGTGGCCTCTGGTTCGTGCCAGGAGCCAGGATGGCTCTTTGCTACTGGTGTATCTTGCTGTCAGACCCCTTTCAGTGACAGAGCTAAGAAGCACAGACACACACATGCACGCACGCACGCACGCACACACGCTCACCTAGAGCCATCATGAGTTCACACTCATTCCTTCTGTGGTAGTCTTTCCTAGTATTCTGGAAACATCCTCTGTTCCATTAGCACAGTCTAGCACTCACTCATTGCTCAAAAAATATTTTTGAGAAAACCAATGAAGGCATGCACTGTGTTGCCGTGAACTGACCATCTACAGAAGAAAGGTTCAAAATGAAGTTAAGCATGGAAATCTGCCCCTTCCTTTTTCTTTTCCTCCTTCTATAAACTTACTGTTAAATACATTGGACAACCAGAGGTGGTTTGTCAGATATCAGAATTTGAAGAACAGTATGTTTTCTAATTTATCGTTCCTTTCATTCATCAAAACAAATACATTTCTGTAATAATTTTCTTAAAGTAGTGTTCTGAGATTTTTTTTTTCCCCCAAACTTTCTAGGTGGCTGGAATTGTGGGCAGAGCTGACGTGTTAGCGTGCCTGCTGTTTCTGCTCGCCTTTCTCTCCTACAATAGGTACGTGTGGCAAAGAACACCCTTCTCTGAGATTACAGCCATGCTGTTCCCTGGGAATTTGTGCTGTGTGTGTGTGTGTGTGTGTGTGTGTGTAGACTCTGAGCTTCTGCCTGAGAGAGGAGGGAGATTTCTCGGCACTAAGATGCTCAGCATGCTTCCTGGAGACCTGGGATCTGCAACCCTCTCCTTACAGAAGGCTCTCGCAGCCACATTCTGAAGCCTGCCATAGCCTTTCAGAAGGACTGCTTTCCCAGTGCTGGGAAGACAAGCTCTTCCTTCTTGATTTCCCCCTATTTGTAGGTTCTGACTGAGAATGGAACTTGAAATCTTAGCTCTGAGCCAGAATATACTGGATATAGTCCTCTCTTGTATTTAACTGTGATTTGTTTATTTTTTTCATTTTGGTCCTACGTATTTTTTGCCCTTTTTATCATCCCCATTAAAGTAGCTCAGAGCCTAAAATAACAGGCCTGAATGGAGCGCAGTATTTCTCAGCTGTGTTTCCAATTTACACATTCTTTTATCAAAACGTAGAAGCTCCTTGCGTTGGGAGACTGAAAAGCTATAAAACAGTTTCCCATTATATTGCTCCTTTCCTCCCAATGTGATCGGATTCTCACCTGAGTTGTGATGTATCCACGCAGGGAATGGAGGGGAGAGGTTAAAAAGAATGTGAGTGGAGGCAGATGACTCAGGGCGTGACTCAGGAAAGGGGGCCAGTAACCACGCTGCCCTACTTCACGGAGGGCTGTCTGCCTGAGGATCTGTGAACCTTGATCTTTGGGTCAGTTCATCGGCCCATGAGCTTACAAAGCCCAGTGACTCTGAGGAGCCCTGTTCTAAACCGGTGATTCTCAGCATGCGGAAAATTTGCCCACCTCGCCCCAGGGGACATTTGGCAATGTCTGGAGATATTTTTGCTTGTCACAACTGGAAAGGAGCAACTGGCATTTGGTGAGTGGAGGACAAGGATCCTACAGTGTACAGGACAGCCCTAACGTAACAAAGAATCATCTTCCTGAAACACCAGTGGAGCTGAAATTGAGAAGCCTTGATGTCAGCCAGCTCAGACCTTGGATCAAGAATGAAGTGAATTACGCTTTATGAAGTTTTGGTTTAAAGAGCAAGGCCTCTCCTTAGGACGGTGCCAGTCTCCTGGTCCTGGCTGTGCAGCCTCCCCCTGCGTTGCTGGTTGTATAAAGCAATGTTGTGAAAATCTTAAAAAAAATAAGCCCCAATTCAGCAGTCGTTTCCTGTTTAGTCTGGTGTTAGAAGGAGGTTAATAATTGAGTCTGAATTTTTTCTGTGTGTTAATGTTTTTGGGAACATGAGTGGGCCGACAGCGCATCCGTGTCTGTGGATTAATGAGCCACACAGTGTTACGAGCTTCTGTGGTGCAGGCCGTCCTCACTGGGAGTAATTTAAGCCATCAACCAGCTTCGGAGAAAAAAAGCACGCCTGCTACAAATCTGGTGTGTAATTTAGGTGTTTGTTCCAGGATGTAACAATCAGGGTAAGATGTCACAACTGCAGGTGTGTTGGCCTTCAAAGGAGTAGGAGCCCAAAACGGGTGTGGAAGGGCCCTGCTGAAGGGGCAGTGTGGCTTCCTGGTGTGGGGCCGATTCTGCTTTGTAAGGTGAGAAAGGACTTTACAGCCACTGGAGGGTTTTAGGAAATCCCTGCTGGAAACTATGCTGAGGGAAAAAAGGCTTTACCTAATAACAGCCTCATAGGAAACAAATTTTAAAATACAGATTAGCCAGAAGAAAAGGAAAAGACCAGAACATCTGTGTTTGCATCGCAGAGGGGAAGGATGCTTGTGGCTCTGTACACACATCTGCTGATTTCTTTGTACAGAAGCGTGTGAAACACTTTCACTAAAAAAAAAAAAAAAAAAAAAAAAAATTTGTCATGATGAACACTTGACATGTGGTGAGTCATTTATTGACTGTTCCCTGCAACACTGCGATCCCATCTCCTGTGTAAGGGAGGCCCAGAGAGGCCACTGACCGCCCCGTGTTATTCTCTTACTCACCTGCAGAGCTGTGATTTGAACCCAGGGAGGCTGGCTCCAGCATTCATGCCTATGGCTTAGTAACCTGTATTATTCTCTTAAAATATATTTGCTTAAACATCTTTCCATGTCACTTAAATATGTCTCGATGGTAGCATTTTAAATGGTGTTCGTTTTTTGGTGTTCATTTGCTGAAGGACATAATTTAGCAGAATTTATATATGCCTTAATTTAAGTCTCAAATTCAGTATTGTTACTTTTTCCCGTCTTTGCAATTTAAAACAATTCTTTGCTGAACATTCTTGAAGAAAAATCTTTGCTCACCTACTTAGACTACCGTGACATTGATGTTAGATCTTATCTTGAAAAGGTGGTGTTTCTTAACGACTCACATTTCTTTGTAAGAGTGAAAGAATCTCGGCCCTGTTTTTCAGGAGTGTGGACCAGTGCTGTGCTGGGGAGCGCGTCCCTCCCACGGCTTCCCCCTTCTTCCTGCTGCTCAGTTTGTTTCTGGGGACTTGCGCGATGCTGGTAAAAGAGACGGGCATCACGGTGTTTGGCGTGTGCTTGGTTTACGATCTCTTCTCCCTGTCCCACAATCACGACAAATCGTAAGTCATTTTAAAGCGTTGGTATCAAGCAGGGCATGTGTACAGAAGAAGGACTTAAATCAGTAATTCTCAAACTCCGTTTAAAAGAATTGGAAGTATAACATTTTGTTGAATTTCACCTTAGACCATAAAATAACAAGGCTTATTTCCTAAAGATAAATGCTTTCTATATGTTCAAACTCTTTACACTCGTAGGAAAATCAGTGAGGACTATAAAGTTTTTGTGAGCCCCAGGCTTGTAATTGAAAAGTATCTCTGCTAATTGCAAGTTTGTATTGCTAGACTGTTTCGGTTGCATACTACTGAGAAATCTTGGTTCACACGGAGGAGTGGTTGCAAATGATAACAGTTTGTTAACAGCTCGCCTTGAATCTCTGCATTCCAATGAGTGTTATCCATCACAGAACACCACTAAATTGGAATCTGTTTACTTACTCTAGAGATTACTCAGGCTTTTACCTGAGTCTTGGAAGGGGCCTTTTGGAATTCCACATACAGGTGAGGTTTAGACTGGAATGCACGTTGTCTTCCAGTTAAAGAACAAGTTTATTTAACAGCCTATTTTCATTAAAAAATTAAGGCATATTCATTTTATCCCATGGGTTATAGATGCTAAGAAAGATGAAGGTGAATTAAAAGTTCAAGCACATACTGTAATTTTCTCCCTCTATCCAATCTGTAATTACTAACAATTTGATATGCAGACCCCATTTTTCAGTCATTATAAGGCCCTTACATTTGAACTTTTGAAAAATGTAGCTGATTTATTCTCCTGCCTTGTCTGATGAAGAATTGTATCTTTTAAAAAAAATCCTGCCTTTTTATCCCATTCCCTGCCTCTTTCTACTTCTGGGCAGAGAGATAAGAGCAGCGCTTTTGAGGGGCAACAAGCTGAGATGATTCTTTAAATTCTGATCACCTTCCTGCCTGGGCGTACTTGGAGATAATTTAAATAGACGTCAGTGCTCCGTTGACTCTCCGTAAATCTCAGAGGCGTGGAAAAGGCAGGAGCCTGGTTATCATTTTGACCCAAGCTCAAGCCAAGAAAGCTGTGAGCCGAAGGACCTCCCCTGGGCTTCTAGGAGAAAGCCTTTCCCCTGTGTCCTCTCAACCGATGGGAGTAATTGTGCCGCTGACCTTGCTGAGAGAGCAGCCTGTCGGCCCTCCAGCTTCCCACTTGCTCTTTGCATCTGCTCTGTATCTGCCTCCCAACTTCCTTCTGCTTTGCTTTACTGACAACAGAGGATGTGACAAGTGACTGCAGACCCTCCCCTTTGGTCCAGTCAAGCAATATTTTAACCTTATGTCAACTGAAAAAAAAAACAAACAAACCCTACACAACTTGAACGTTGAGAATTAGGTTTTATTTGGAGACATGACTGAGGACAAATCATGGGAAGGAAGCCTTTCAGATAGCTCTGAGGGGGCCTGTTCCCAAGAGGTCAGGAAGGCACCAGGAACTAGGAGTTTTTGCTGAGAAAAAAAACAAACAAACAAACAGAAAAAATGTAGTCGAAACTCTAAAGGTTATTGCTCATCACAAACAAGCAGACATTTCAAGTTAATGATTTTAGTGCTTTTCTGTATATGGGAAGATACAAGTGTCTGCACTCATTGAAATTACTCCGTTGATTTGCGTCTTAGCCATCTAGGGCCAGTGTTCTAGTTTCCTCCATCCCACTTCCCCTCAGGTGCACCTTTGCGGCTGGCTACAGTGGTGATGGCTTGATGGTGGACGACATTAGTTGTTTACGGGAAGGGCAGGCAACATTCTGTGTTTACTGAAATGGCAGGCAGCATTCCTTTGTCCACCCTCATCACTGATCATCTCTCCTCTGGTCGTGGGACTCTCCAGCCCGGGGGTGCCTTCGCTCCTTGCTTCTCCATCTGGTCGCTGTTGAGCTGGGCTTTGTCAAAGGAAACAGTTGTTTCTTTTATTCCTTTAATAACTGTTCTTGACCATCATCCTACCAAACAGCTAGAAGTTCTATAGAAGGATTACTGCTGATACACAGCTTAGAAGTTGCATGCTTCATAGTCTGTGCTTTCGTTTTGTTTTTGTAGTAACTTTTAGCTCTCACAACCACCAGTATCTCTGTATAAGTGGAGGCACTCATTCTTTCCTTCATCCTTTTACCCATCCATTTAACACGTTCTTATTCTGTGTCTGGCCAAGAATAGTGCAGATAAGATTCCTTCCCTTAACGAACAGTCCTAGGGGAGACAGACATCACATAAGTAATTACGTGAGTCACTGAGTCCAGCTGTGAAGTGGTGGGAAGAAACGGGAGAGCCAGGAACAGGGAGATGTGGCCCTGATCACACTTAGTGTCTCTTGAGAGCAGGCCGTGTGCCAGGCACTGGGCCACGTCGTTTACAGTTGTGAAGTCACTTAATGCTCACAACAACTGTTACCCTCATTTTAGAGGAGAAAATACAGGCACAGAAAGTAACTCCTCCAGAGTCAC